AAGTGCCCTCCAGCAGTCAGCTGGAGCACTGTAGGGACTGCTGGTGATCTTCTGCCACCCAGAAGATGCCTCTCTGTCTTCAGCTTTTCTCCCTTTCTAGTAAAAGGGTCAGGTAGAGGAATCTGCGAGGTACCAGACAGGTGGCACTGGGAAGGGGAAGAGAGGGAGTCAGAGCTCAAGCAGCAGCAGGAACAACATGAACAGGAATGATGGATTCACTCCTGCAGTGCTTAGACAGAACTCTTATGAAAGACAAGTGCTTGTCATAGTGTAACAGATGTGCTTGTTCTTGGATAAACTGTGATGGATGCTGTTATCATTGTACGTGTCTAGTAGTTTATATTTTGTTCAGAAAGCTGCTATGCGCTACATAATAGACACAGGAATGAAAAGTTCTGCAACTGGATTTTGATGATCCCATCAGATAGGTTCTGTGGAAGACAGAATAGCAGAAGGTGTCTAGGCTTTCTTCTGAAAAGGAATTCCTATATTAAATGAAAGAATTATTATCTAGGAGAGATGTTTAGCTACATAAGCAACTCTCAGCCTGATTCCTTATTCAGTAAGGGACAAAGCTTCTCAAACAGGCCACATAAATTGAGTTCAGGATACAGAAACATAGAAGCATAGAATAATTTGGGTTGAAAGGAATCTCCAGCAAGGGTCCAGTCCCCTTTGCTCAAAGCAGGGCCAAATTCCAAGGAACAGTGGCCTGACCAGGGTTGTATCCATTCAAGTTTTAAATATCTGTAAGGTTGGAGATTTCATTTCCATCTCTCTCAGCAGCCATTCCAGTGTTTGAACACCTTGTGGAATTTTTTTTTCCTAATACCTAATTGAACTTTCCCAAGTTACAACTTGTGTCTGTTGGTATCAAACAAAAATAAATAAGCTCAAGTGGAAAACTGGACATAAGGAGTAGTTTAAAGTCATGAAAAATATCAGAACTGATAAAAATAAATACAGTGCTTTAAAAATAGACATGGGACCTCACTTTGTTCTCAAGTCAATAGCAATTTTTTACTTGAAGTGAAAGACGTTGGAATCATCGTAGGATTTGCACTCAGGAGTTTTTACTTGACTGCCCTCTGGATGTCAAGGTCAGAAAGAACATGCAGATTGCAGCCCAATATTTTAAAAAGCCCAAATATTAATGGAGTATTAGAGCACATAATAGGGACATACCTTCTCATGGCATCATAAAAAAGTGACTCAAAGAGGAGGACAAAATGCCAACACAGACACAATCTCTTTTTTCTGTGTAGTAGTGCAGCTTCTCTTGCTTTCAACACACAACAAGCAGAAGGGTGTGAATTGCCACCTTTTTGGTGGGGGACCAGGATTCAGAGGGGCAGCAGTTAATCTATTCCCTACTTTAATTCCTTATTCTGCCTGCTTCCAGTAAGCACCTACTTGGGAGACATGAAAAAGACAAGCTAGAAAATCTTTGACGTAGAGTAAAAGTTGCTGAAGGAGTAGTTGGATGTATTTCTCAAGAAATGTCTCATTTTCTCAAGAAATAGGGCTAATTTGAAGTAAAATTTCTTTAAAATCCTCAGTTTTCTTATATTTTTAATAACTCTCTGATCAGAGAACTTTTTAGTATATGTGGTGTATATAACAGCAGGCAGCATTAATTAAGCTCAAAAAGATGTCAGTTCTCAGCAGAGAAAAAATGAGGAGGAAAGTGGGTATTGAGAAGGAAAAATAGAAAATTCCCTATGAAATCAGGAAAGCAAAAAAGACAGAGAAAGCATCTAAAACCACCATAGAGCTGAGAAGGTAAAAATGTATGAATAGCATTAATAGGAATTAGTGATTAAATTTTAATTTTCAAAGGAAAAGGTGTATAAATGAAGAATAGTAGTAAGCAGTAATCACACTAGAACACAGAAGGAGAAATTCAATATCTAAACTTAGCCAAAGAAAAAACAATCAATGATGTTTTATTACTGATGGATATGTTTAGGAGAACCTCTGTAGAGAGAGAAAGACGATGAAAGTAGCCCTTTCTTGTACAGTACATTAAAAAAAAAAATTGAAAATAATTTGTAGAATAACTCATGACAGAAACTACAATAGGAGGATCATTGTGTTCTGAAAATGAAGCTAATGGTCCCAATTTAGCAGCTGGGATATCGCTAGTCCCAGGGACTTGTTACTCCTTGTATTAATGCTAACTTTGGCCACTTAAAGGATATAGAATCAGGAAAATACTTTGTTTGAAAACTGATTTGGGCAGAAGTGATCCACGTCTGAATAGAATTGGTTGGGAAGTGGGCCATTTTTTGTGAAAACCTGGAAATATTCATTAGAAAGATAAACACAAAAATACAAAGATTTTCTAGTTGGGATTTTTCAGTGAAAGGTCACAATTTACCATGAGAAGCAGACACATTTTCTGAAAGATTTTTAGTTAATCAGAAATCTAGTTTTATGTCATAGGACAACATTTGCCAGCCTCAGCTGTGAAGCGTGAACATGTTAGTAATCCCAGTTCGCCTCAGGTACAGAAGATGAATGATACTCAAGGTGTAAAAGTTCAAAACCATCGCTTGTTTTGTTTGGCTTCTTAACTTTTCAGCAGTGCTTTGCCTTCCTGTAGGCTGGCATTTCACTTTTTAGGTCCATTTTGCGGTTTCTTCATCCTTTGGAAAGTTAGCATCTCATGACATTTATATATGCATAAAAGTCATCTAGAAGATGATATTTGGAATTAAATAAAAAGAGTAGTAGAAATGAATAAGGAAGCACACAGTGTAACGAAGGATAAAAGATAGGTTATAAGATCTGTAAAAGATGTACTTTTTGTCTCTCATAAGATGTTTAGCTAGTACACTCTGAAAATTATGGATCAACCTTCTTGTGTTTGCCTTGCCTAACGAACACACCACAAATACAGTCACAGTACAAATAATGAAAACAACAGTAAGGCAGAGATGAAAACTTTTAAAGCACCAAAGAAATAAGTTGGAAGAGGCAGGAAAACAGTTAAGAAAATTGAATGGGGAGGGGGCTATGTCTGTTACAATTCTTAGAGAAATATGGGGTTTTTTTCTTCACTATGTTGTCATGGTTCTTTTCATTACTGCATTGTCTGAAGTATAACATCTTTTTTTTTAAAATCCAGGAAGTGAGTTTTAGAAATTATATTACTTATAGAAGCTATATTGTGCAGGAAGTTAAGAGAGAGAATGGAAAATCCGTAAAGCACAGTAGGAGCAAGAGGCCCATGAAAGAGACTTCACTGTACCTGATGGCTGGCAGGTAAAATGTATTGACAGAAGGAGCACATTGCTTAAAAGAGAGAACTTCCTGCCTTGTTCTCAAAAAAAAGAACAAAGATCTGAATGCTAGGAGTGAGTAAAAACTAAAAAAAGGAAAAGGGAAAGGAATAAAACATTTACTAAAACTAATAGTCAAGAAACAAGCTTATTGAAATAAGCCACTTTTTTCATATTCTATGTGCCTGATATTTATTGATAATTCAAGAGGCAGCTGGACACAAGTGCTGACCCCCGTCATTTGACTGAGGCAAGTTCCTTGCTACTCTAGCAGTGAAGGAATGAGTTTGAAAGCCTGCAAAACACAGTGCCGCACCCATCTCTGTGAGCAAACATATGCCTGAATCTGGAAGAAGTTTTTATCTTCTGGCAGATAGAGCTGGTTTTGTAAATGCTGGTAATTATTGGTCCCCAGAGTACATAGTCCTGGTTAATGTTTTGTTTATAATACATGGACTGTTTCCTGAAGTTATGAAAATGCACGGTTACAAGATATGACAATGCATTTGTTTAAGCGAGGCTGATGGGTCTGGTGGCAAAAACACTGTACAGAATGGGAGGGCAGCAGCGCAAGCATGCCACGGACCTCTCCTTAGCTGAGGTGTGAAACAGCTGTCGCCACCCTGAAACGTCTGAAAGCCAGTACATCTGGTGAATGGCCTTGAGAGACATGTTAGCCTTCACCCTAGCATCCACACATTAAAGGAGACATTTGTTGCAAGCTAAATAACCCTCATTTTCGTGATCTGTGTTCACCAGCTAGGTGGAGGCAGAGAAATGAGCTGTTCCACAAGCAGTGAAGTTAATAAAGCCTGATCTTTTCCAAATTTGACCTAGGTCCCCACATAACTCTTTACAACAACCCCATCCCTGTTCCATACCTGCTTCACTCCCCAAAATTCTTGTTTCCCCAGAGCATCACCAGCTTCCCCCTGTGTTTCCCTCCTCTCTGGCTGAGCAACAGGCAGCATGCTGCCTGCTCGGAGCAGAGGCTGGGTGCGTGCTGGCTGAGCGTTGTTCTCCAGGATAAATGGTAGTTACTACAAATACCTCTCCCTCTCCTCTACCCAACTGCCAGTGTTCACTACTTTTTTAGAAACTTAGTTATCTTCAGTACTGGTGGCCACTCTGCCGATTTGTTTGAAATTGGACAGCAGGTTTACAAGTTACTAAGAAAGACGAAAAGCTCCAGGGGTCAGGTCTCATTTCCTTAGGAAACCAGGGTTTAAACAGTCACAGATCGGTGATTAGATTGCAGCTTCTGCTGAGAAGTTCATGGGCTGAGCCAGTCAAAGTTAGAAGTCTAAAACAAATGCGTGCACATGATACTAAGTTTTATCAACATGACTGCTATAGAGGCCCCATATGCCACAGAAAAAAACTACCTTAGAGGTATTTTTAGCAAAGGAAGTGAAGCTTGTAAAAAGTGAAACTTGCATATTTCACCTGCTACAGTTTTTTGTTTTCTTCCACAAAAATTCCACATCGTCTTTTTCAGATGGGTGCGTGGCTCAGAGTAAAGGACATGCAGTGCACAATCCCTAGCAGAAGCTGAAAATGGATGGTGCCTACTGATGCTTTTCGACAACGTCATCTCCTCTTTTCCTGTTTGAGATGGGTGATATATGATCATCAGGAAAAAGTTCTAAAATAAGCCTGAGTGACCTCTTCGTCCCTTGACTCCTCTTTCCGCAACTCTAAAAAGCATCAAAAGAAATGACCACTCAACTACCAGAGGAGTCTGTGGAGACCCAGAGCTCAGATGAGCTTGAGTGCAAGATCTGTTACAACCGCTATAACCTGCGACAGAGAAAACCAAAAGTGCTGGAGTGTTGTCACAGAGTATGTGCCAAATGCCTTTGCAAGATCATAGACTTCGGTGATTCCCCACAAGGAGTCATAGTATGCCCATTTTGCAGGTTTGAAACGTGCCTGCCAGATGATGAGGTTAGTAGTCTTCCCGATGACAACAACATCCTTCTGAATTTAGCTTGCGGGGGAAAGGGAAAGAAGTGCCTACCAGACAACCCAACAGAACTGTTGCTGACTCCCAAAAGGTTGGCGTCTCTGGTTAGTCCTTCTCACACCTCTTCTAATTGCCTGGTTATAACAATCATGGAAGTACAAAGAGAAAGTCCCCAGACTCTGAATGCAACCCCCGTGGTGGAATTTTACAGGCCTACAAGTTTTGACTCTGTTGCAACTGTGTCCCACAACTGGACAGTGTGGAACTGCACATCTTTGCTCTTCCAGACCTCAATTCGGGTGCTAGTGTGGTTGCTAGGGTTGCTGTACTTTAGTTCCTTGCCTTTAGGGATTTATTTACTGGTATCTAAGAAAGTCACCCTTGGGGTTGTCTTTGTAAGCCTAGTTCCTTCGAGCCTTGTTATTCTCATGGTTTATGGCTTTTGCCAGTGTGTTTGCCATGAAGTTCTAGACTGCATGTCATCTTGATAACAAATACAGTGAAATAAGACGAATTGCCACATGTGTAGCATAGTTGATTTATCCTGTCTTTGTATTCTTATTTATTCTTATTGTTGTCCATCCCACTAAATGTCAGCAGTGGCCCTAGTTATATGGTCCTTTTTTTTTCTACTTGATTTTACTTCCCCCCCGCCTTTTTTTAAGCTAAACAATGGAAATAAAATTTACATGCTGATTTTAAAAGGCTGAGTTGTAGAAAAGGATAAAGCAAAATTGCCAAACTTGGTGCCTGCTGCTGCTGCCACTATTCAAATAAGTAGCCCTTTGCTTTCTATTGTCGTGATCATGTCAGTCAAGGCTGCAGGATCCACCCTAGAAGAAATTAGTATAACAGGCACCTTCCAGGCCAAAGTACAGCATCTCTTCATCCAAAGCATCTCATGCTTTGGAATATCTGTTATTTATAATTCTTTATAATTTATAGCAAATGAAATCACTTTGTTAGTTAATATTATAAGAAGAATAAGACAAGCTACCATTGCTTTTTTCAGTTCTTGTTATAGCAAAAATATTTGTGGGAGGCCAATGGTTACAGATTTTTTTGCATTCTGCAACATGAGGAATCTTTTTTTCACCATGCTAAAAACATGTCTCCAAAACACTTTCCCCAAACAGAAGCCCACTTTACTTGTCATATAGTTGCAGCTCCCTCTGAGATACTCCTGCTCATGAGTACTTCCAGGGACCCAGCCACACATTTGGTCTTCTCTAGGTGCACTTATTTCAGTGAGCATACACCTTAGGCTTCCCTTTAAGGGTTCAGAGCTCTGCAGACTTCTGTAGCTATTTACCCTCCCTCCCAGCGTTTCCACCACCACACCACGTTTCCAACCCATTAGTCCTCCTAACAAATTGCCTGACCAACTTCATGCGCATCTTCTCTGTAGTAGCTACACTGGAGAATTTGGCTTATGTGACTTTAGCTATCAAGACAGACTTTTATTCCCAGCCATTAGGAAATGGACCTTCAATCACTAATACAAATTTCAGAAAAAATCTGAAACAGTTAACTGGGTTCTTTTTTGCTTTCTGAGTTCACAGAATGAGCATTGTAAGGAGGTACTGTGGCTTTGGGAAGGTTTCTGTTTAATGCATAGTCCTTCAAAATGTTTAATACCCTCGACTCCGTCTGTCACCATTGTGAGTTGATGGCACTCTAGATGTGGCAATTAGGATGTCTTGATTAGCTGAGTTCAGAGGAATTACTGATGATTTACCATTCCACAAATAGAATCAGGCCCTGTAAGGCTTTCTTGTATGTTGCATGGTTTAGGCTACTTTTTGAACTATTGGAAGAGCACAAAATAAGAAATATTTAATGTTTATGTGCATAACTAGGTCTAGTCAACACCACAGCTGCAAACTCATTTTCCTGTGCACAGGGTAAAGACTGAGAAGGAGAAGTTGAGCAGTGCAAGCATGGTTTTTGGGTCAGGCACAAGATTTAGTAATTTCAAGGCAGTGTAAGAGGAAGAGGGGTTTGTTGCATGAAGAGTGAATGTATGGCCTAACAATATATTCTTAGAGCAAACTGACTTTGGTAAGAATGAAAAATGCCGATGGGGGAAAAGCAGAGCATAAGTGGGTTTTGTGTCTGTCAAGAGGATTTGAAGTCAAGCTGGTCCAATTTTTGTAGATGGCACAGGTGGTATCTACAGTTTCATTCCTATTGCAAATATAGGGGAAAATGTAGAAACATAAAGGTCCTGCTTTTCTTGACACTCATTTTATAATAGTGCATATATGTGTGTGTATGTACATATAGACACATATGTTAAAAGAAAACTTATAGTGAAATTATAGTTTTCAAGTGTATGGAGTTATGGAGCTATGTACTGAATGATTAAAGGAAATGTTTCAGACTTTTCTGTAATGACTTGATAACAATTATAACAAAAATATTTTCAGAATTCCTAGAAATGACTATTCCTAAGTAATTGTTTTTAATGTCTGTGGTAAAGCACATATAGTTAGAAGAGGTATCATCTCCAGTTCTGATATACTGCAAGGTTTGACTCATCTATGAACTCATAAATTTTAAGTATCCAACAACAATCATGTCAAAAAGCAAGAAAAATAGAAACCTATGTGGTTTTATAGTACTTCATAACTTTGGGAAAAGGTGTATTTGTAGTGTTAGGGATTTATATGTTTTAGGATCTGTTCAATTTGTCTGAATATAGTGTCTCTAATAAAGGGCTGACTAGTAGAGGAAGTAGGTTTTGCAAATGTGTGACATATATCTATTACCTCTGCACAACATGTCTACAGTGCTACCTGTTGTCTTTTCCTTTTGATTTTCAATTGATTAAGATTATCGTAGCTCCAGCACCAGGTATTTTGTACTCTGTTTTAAAACAGAGCCTAATCACAGCAGGATTACAGTGGTATCAGTTACACATCACAGCACAAATTAATACACCTGTTATTATATTTCACCACTTTTAAGGCTGCCAGTGAGTTAAATTTATGCTGTTATTTTAGACTGTGCTGCAATACCAATCCACTCAAAAATGTGAGCATGCAAAAACGTATTGATTGTATAGCTATTCTGCCGCTCAGCCAGAGCACGTTATTACATCTTTGGTCTCGTAAAATTCCTGTATGACTTATAATATGACCATTGAGAATTGCTAGGAGGTCTAAATCTCAGTTCTTTGTGGAGAAGATATTTGCTGTATGACTGAGACCAGAATGACTTCAGATATTACTCTTTCATTATTTTTATTCTCCACCATCCTTAGAACTGAAAGAAGACTTAGAACTGAAAACTCACGTGTCCTCTGCAGTGGAATAACTCTGCTGAAGTCAGTGTAAATGGGGCTAGAATCAAGTCCTGCATACCTGCCTGCCTGCATTTCCTTCCCTTGCTGTGATTTTTTTCACTCCTTGGAGAGTAATGGCTCCTGTGGTCATAAAATACTGCCTGCGCACCAAGGCAATTCCCATTCAGTAGGATTTTACTCCTGCTTTGCTGGGACGTGTGACTCAGCCGGGTACAAGGTGTTATAAACCCATTCCTACAGGATTAATTTAGTCCAAATGAGATGGTTTAGGTGGTTTTGGTTTTAATTCCTGCTTGTCCTATGGATGCAGACTGTATCCTCACCGGCTGCTGGTTTACAGTACGATATAGTGGTATCCCCTGAGGGCTGGGGCAGGATGATGCAGTCGTCATTGCCGGGCACAACATAGGAAGGATGAGCTGCGCCGGGCCGTCCTCTGAGCGGGACCCCGGGAGGGGTGCAGCTCTCCTGCAAGCGTGGCCTGAGCCCTGAGCCTAAAGGGCAATTAACAGAGAGTGGCTTTCATGGAAAGCAGGGCCTGTGGGTTCATAAACAGGACACAGGGCCTTTGGGCTGGGCTGTGGCTGAGACGCTGTGCAAAGCAGAGAGGAGTGTATGCCTGGGACAAAGGGGCTGTGTTTTAGATAAGGAGTTTGGGGTAGAGCTGCTGCAAACAGAGTTTAATGTTTTTCATACTGACCCTTCTGGGTTTTAAAATTCATTTGGTAATTATAAGTCATTTGCTACTGCTACTACAGTTGAGTATTTTTCCTTTCCAAATGGCCAAGTATTGAGCTTTAGAATTTAAAGAGATCCTTAGATTTGGGCATACTCCCTCTATGACATTAACTATTTAAACCTGCAATCTTTCAAACAGGAATGACCCAAATAAGGGCTGATATCTTTGATTTAGCTGCACTGTGAGCTTTTTCCTACTATGTTGATTATATGCCTGCAAAACTGTATATGTTAATATAAAACACTTAAAATAGGCAAACTCTTGTCCTGATAACACTATTGGCAAACTTCAGGGTTGCCAGCATTTTACGATGTATCCAAGAATAGACACTCTTCCCGATGGACTTTATTACCAGAAGATACAGCAGCACACAGCCAAATAGACAAGTACAGTACAGGAAAACCCAGCTTTCCAGCTAAATCGCTACATATCACTTCAACCAAAGGAAGGGGAACTGAGGATGTTCACAGGAAGGTGGATGATGTTGTGTTGGAGGAAGTTCCTTGTTATTAGGGTACAGAACCATTGGTTTTCCTAATTCTAACCAGTTCCAGGGGTAGATTCCACTCACATTTCCCCATTACTTTTCTGCCCCTTCTGCTGGAACAAGACTATATGGAATTGTGGGTAATCGATATTTTGAAATGAAACAACGTTTTCTGCTACCCTGAGTTTGCAGCTCAGTCCAGCACAAGTTTAATACTGAAAAGATGGCAAATTGCAGCCAGGATGCGAGAGTGAACAGGGTGCAGAGGGGAAACAGCAGCAGGTTGTTAAAATAGTTTTGATGTCAAAGCAAGGAAAACATGGCTACATCCTGCCTTGTCTTGGCTGGTTCAAAACTAGTGAGAGGCTGTCCCAAGCTTGAGGACCGCCATGACTTGACACGTTCCCCTGCATTACCTCTGTGACAGTTCACTTCAGTTGTGCATCTTGATTTCTTGTACAGCAGTTGTACATCGTGATTTCATCTTCCTGCGTGGATGATGGGTGTAGTGAAAGGCCCACAATGTTCCAGTCTTAAACAGGTTCATTTTAACTATCCTAAAGTTTCTCAGGGTTTTTTTTCTGGATTTCTTCATATTTCTACAAAAGCAAGACAGCGTGCTTCATTTTAAATAGAGCAGTGCCTTCAAGGATTTAAAAAAAAAAAAAAACAAACCAAAAAAAAAACAGGGAAGAAGAAGAACTGAGAATTTTTAGATCATTTTAAGATATTCAAAGTGATGGAAAGAGACTGCTCTGAGAGTTTACTTTTACTTTCATACTAGCAGATTAGATGTTACCCTTTGAGTGACAAAAGTAAACATTTAGTGCTGGAGATTCCTGAGGGAGTATATAAGTCTGCCAGACCTTAGGCACAAACCCTGTACTCCACTGCTTTTCTGTAAAGCACCATTCTGCCTTTTGCATCAGCTCCCCTTCTCAAAAGTAGAGCTGTGACAGTTTATAAAGAGTTCTGGCACAGAGAATAAATCCCCAGTCTGGGGATGGTAAATCATCTTTTTAGAGATGTGTGTGGCAGTAGCAAAGCTTTCAGTGCTAGACCTTAAACAAAGAGAAGTCATCTTGCAGTCTGAATTGCTAACATAAATTGCATTTTAAATCAAGTTTCATTGTGTTGGGCAACACTACAACTAAAAACCCTTTTATTATATTTCTGCATCTTTCTTGTGTTATACAATGTGTTTTGCATTTTAAAAAATGTATTAAATCATAGAAATCAGAGATGGGTAGAAAAAAGCCTAATAAGTCATTTTATCCATTTCCTCTGCCCCCGTAGAGATGAATGTTTTGTCTAGTCTGGTTTTAAATATCTCAAGTGATGAGGCCTCCACCTCTTCCCACAAGGGGCTTTTCAGCTGTTTAGTAAGCTG